GGCTACATTATGACGATATTATACCGAAGAACGGTATACTATTAGGCACAAATAGATTTTGTTGACTTTTATATACGCAGTTAGTGGCTCTGCATGAGCTTTTCATGGTGATTTAAGTCTTATATCTTTTAGGAGGACTAATTTCTACGCATTTTTTCAAGCACGACTGCTTTTATCATGGTATTCTGTTTGTATTATAACAGCTTTTCTTTAAAAATTTATGAAGTTAAACTTCTTTGGGCGCGCTTTATATGAAAAATGTAACTCGTGAAACAAGCGAGTGAGTAAACAGCGTCTAAATATCTATATATATTCATATTATCTTCGTAACTACCAGCGCTGACTACAGCGCAGAGGTCTGTCATTCCCTTTCTCTCTCTTCTTTTCTCTCCCTCTTTTTCTCTCTTGCATGCGCACGACAGTACGCTGCAGATACTCTATATATCATAACAAACATGGGAGTACTTAGAACTCGTGAATAACGTGTAACATAAAAAGTAAATAAAATTATATATTTATTCTATCCGTGAGCGTTTTTAAATACGTTATTTTGTTTAAATTTTTTTTATAATAATCAAGAATTCTGAAACACCTATTGAAATAAGGTGTACTCTAATTTTCTCAATTTGTGGTACAATGAGTTAAATAACATTCAAATTGTAACTTTTTTATCTGCCAGGGATCTCAAGACCCTCACCTATTTTTTTATTTGAAAATTCCTGGGGACTCTACCTTACTGACTACGCACACATTTGATACTTAACGTTATCTGTAACGATAGTTTTTAAGATTTGTTTTAGTGTAGCAAGATGGCCCTTATGAACTCTCAATAAGACATCTGGAACTTAATACAATTTTTTTTATTTGACGAACCTCATAAAGTATCCCTATGTTATTTATATAGGTGTAGACGTATTTCTTATTTGTTTTAATTGTCATTTTATTTATATTAAATCTATATTTCGCTGTTCTGCTGACAGCCTCTCCTGGATTAGAAATCATTTAGGTGCCAAGATAACACGTTACATGGACAATAATGGTTCCTTAAATTTGCAACAACTTAACTAAGTTTAAATAAAGTCATGTTTTTAAGAATTCAATTATATAATAGTCATTAAAATTTTTCTTTAAAAAGTTGTACTTAAGTGGCGTTAATATTTAAGGGTGACCTCAAGTTAGCAGCAGTTAAGACAACAGATAAAACATATAGCACGCTAAGGGCCCTTAAGTGGCCAACGTCATTACCACACATGGACGAACACGATGAAAAAGCAGGATCTCAACGAAAACATGAACAACAGAGAAGGACGAAAAGGTGCAAAATCATATACAAGCCAAATGGACACCAACGCAAAGCTGTTTTAAAGCTATCTTCTGCTGGATATGCAAAAATGTTGGTAGCAAAAGCAAAAATAAAGGAACTGTTCAACTCTGTGATCAAAAAACTAACAGAAAGAACTGCATTAGAAGTTACTTAAACATCTTTAAATGGACGACAGGCTCAAGCACAATCAGTAAATCAATCTCAAAAAAAAATTTGATAAATTAACTCACAAGTTTTCTACTGTATGCACTAAGTGTACACTTGCGAGAGGAAGGTTATGGTGAGTTATCCAGCACATACTTTAAGGTGCACGATTAGGAACTCAATATTTGAAAAATTCCTGTAAGTGGCACAAAGTATATATAGTTTCTAGTAGGGAGGCGAAAATTGGTCAAATCTTTTGCGTATTATTAATTAAGGTAAGAGTGTTAGCATACAGATAAAAAAATGCGTTTGACAGGCTTAGGAATATGTGGTGTCTGAACATCCTTTATCTTACAAAGCAGGCAACTTGAGCAGAAGTCTTTGAATGGTAACAGCATAACGCCAAATCGTAAGGGGAGGTTAAACGTAGGCGAAATAAGTCTTGGAAAACTTATGGGTGCATTAGAAGTGTTATCTCTAGTCAGTAAGCCAAAGCAGTTCTTCAACTTAAATATTGAAGGGACAGAATTTTATTATTACTTAGGTGATGATTCTTTTCATTTAATGTAGAATAATTGGATTCAAGCCAGTCCACTGCTACCATGCCTAATATTATTCCCATTTTATTACAAGGCGTTTCATTACCACAAAGATTTGCCTCGTGATACATAATACAAGGGACTTTAGTGGTACGTTGTGTCGATTTTTTACTTTCTGTTCAAATTTTATGTAGATTATGGCAGGATCTAGTGAAGTCAAGATAAATTCACATAGGGAATCTAATGACATGGATAATTTTACTTGTATCTTTACTGCCACAGCAGTAGTAAATGGGATCTCAACCCCTGTTTTCTAAGAAATTAGACAAACTTATTCAACAACTAGACATAAATGTACCTGCACGGCTTGAAAAGTAAGGCTTTACGATTGTAGCCCGATATCAGATTAACGGAAAAGGCCGGAAACCAGTCACAGACCACGCAGATATATGTCTAAGATGTTGCAAGTGGCGTATGGCGAAATTATATGCGTGTCATCATATGCTTTTTTTTTCGAAAAGACCATAACCACTCATTTAGGTAATTGTCCTTAAAAATATCATGTCAAACTTTGGTATGAATGAATATTGTCATAATTGTAACATTAACACAATGTTCCAATACATTTTAACCCTGCCCTTTAAAAGAGCTTAGGCACGGGCGACTAAAACAGGTGGGTTTATTGTAATGTATTTAACTAAAACCATTGTTTTTTTAATAAAAATATTAACCAATTTCATGTTATCTATCCAGCAACATAGAAAATCTCACTACTTGCCTTCCAACATTAATGCCATTCATAAGTGATTATTTCTGATCGCAAACTTTGCAATAAAGATGACAAATCAGATCATTTAATTTTCGTTCGTATAAGCGCAGGTAGTAATGCTCTTTTTAAGTAAAAAACTTTTTGCAGAAAATGATAATTCAATAAAAAGTATAGATACGCTCTGTAAGTGTATAAATTATTCAGGGTTAATAGAGGATTCTAATCACAGAACGAGTGAAACTAATTGAATAAAGAATGCATGATATAGTTAATTGACCATACCGATATAATTTGCAATGCTTTGTCAGTATTAATTTTTTTTCATTCTTAGAAAAGCTCATTTCAATATTAAAACTCTTTATTGCGTGAAATTAATGCTTTATTAAGAAGTACGTGATATGACAAGTTCAAGCAGTGGACCATTCGTGAAGAATAATATGAGCTTGGACTGGCAAAGGCAACTATTTAGTAGTAGTTTATCTCAGCCGAAAATTACACAACATAGCTCAGACACCTATCACTCACATGAGGTTTCATGCAAAAAAATCATTATTTTTTATGTACCGCTTGAAATATGTCAAGAAGCTCTGTGACATCCCATCTCATATACTTAAGATTTATTACCTTAAAACAAAGAGTTTCGTTTTAAAATTATAGAAAGCAAAAGCTTAGCGATTTCGAAACATCGAGCGGTATACCTGCTTCTGCAATCGCGTAACATATATCTTACTTCTTTTGAACTACGCGTGCAACCTCAAACAATCTTATAAAACGCTCATTATACAACATCAATTTGCAGTGGTACATTTAAGAATGTGAATACTCAATAATTTTGATATTCTTTACTGCGTAGCAAATAACGGTATACTGTTAAGCACAAACAGATTTTGTCGACTTTTATATACGCAGTTACTAGTTCTGCATGAGCTTTTCATAGTAATTCAAGTCTTATATCTTTTAGGAGGACTAACTTCTACGCATTTTTTCCAGCACGACTGCTTTTATTATGGTATTCAGTTTTTATTATAACAGCTGTTCTTCAAAAATTTATGAAGTTGAACTTCTTTTGGCGCGCTATACATGAGAAGTGTAACTTGTGAACCAAGCGAGTAAGTGAACAGTGTCTCAATATCTATATATATTTATATTATCTACATAACTACCAGCGCTGACTGCAGCGCAGAGGTCTTTCATTCTCTTTCTTTCTCTCTTTCTCTCTCCTCCTTTCTCTCCGTTTTTTTCTCTCTTGCATGCGCACGACAGCACGCTGCAGATACTTTATATATCAAAGCAAACATGGGAGTCCTTAGAATTCGTAAATAACGTATAACATAAGAAGTAAAAGAAATGATACATTTATTTCATCCATGCCCGTACTTGAATACGTAGTAACATTTGATTTTTTTTATTATAATAAAGAATTCTGAAACACCTATTAAAATTAGGTGTACTCTTATTTTCTTTGTTTGTGTTACAGTGAGTTAAATAACATTTAAATTGTAACTTTCGTATCTGTCAGGGATCTCAAGACCCTTACTTATTTCTTTATTTGGAAATTTCGGGGGCTCTACCTTACTGACTACGGACACGTTTGGTTCTTACCGTTCTCTGTAGGGACAGTTTTTTGGATTGGTTCTGGTGTAGCTTGATGGCTCTTATAAACTCTTTACAAGGCATCTGGCACTTAATACAGTCTTTTTAATGAAAGAACCTTACGTATGCCTGTATTGCTGTATTCTATCAAGCTACTTTCTTTCGGAATCCTTAAGTTTGTTAAGCGATAAAAGCTCAGTATGGTTAGTCATGACTGTAAAACTTTTTTCCGATAAAATCACATTAGTCGACTTATTGACTATATTACTAGGCACTTATTTTTGCTGTTATGATTGCCGAGGGTGGCAATCAGCTACGGGGAGGGGGTGTGACATTTCATGTCGTATACTTAGTATTTATCATTCTAAAATACAGAGTTTCGTTTTAAAATTATAAACAGCAAAAGCTTAGCGATCTCGAACCAATGATCGGTATACTTGTTGAAAGTATTGTTCTGCACATGCAAAGCTGTGCTTCCACATGGAAAGGAGCACGAGGGAAAATGAGCACACACGACAGTTTTAATCATAAAAATACCAAAGGATTTTATTCGTCATGAACAGTAGGATTTTTGCTCTGCTCACGTCAAGAGCTATAGAATAAGTGTATGGTGCTGCGCGACTCTTCTTCCTCAGATGTAGCGCACTGGCAGTGTATGTGGGAGTTTGCTGGTGTGTGCGCAGGAAAAGATGTTCCTTGGGACGATGGTCTTCTTTCGTCTGGAGCACGAAGCTGGTTGCTGGGGCTGAGACGCCACATCTACTCTCTCCCCAGTGACCGGCGTAAGAGCCGGGAATGAAACATGGCGAGTTGCTGAAGACTGGGTGGCTTGGGCAGTTGGGGTAGACGTGGGTTGCGGCGAGAGCTGATCAGCAGTGCTGGGAACTTCCGGCTGAGCAGCGGTGTTGGGTGCAGATGGCAGAGGTTGCGATGGCGGCTGAGCAGCTGTGCTTGGCGCTGTGGGCTGCTCGAGGATGGAGTCAGCTTGCTCCATGTATGCCAGTTTGAGCGTGTCCGTGGACACCACCTCTTCTTTGCCATTAATGTCGAGGACGTAGTTGTGCTCATTGAGACGGCGAAAAACGCGATGTGGGCCGGTATAAGGTGGTTCCAGTGGCTTTCAGTTTTTGTCGACACGCTTGAATACATGCAAGCAGGTTGACAGATCTTTGAAGCAGAACGGGTGCTGGGGGCCGAGGGACTTGAGGCAGGCACTGGTCTGATGGTTTTAAGAAGTTGTCGCAAGCTGCGCGTGAACGTGGATTGGTTGGCCTGGACTGACTCGGTGGTGAAGAACTCCCCTGAAATTCTGGGTGAGAATCCGAGGAGCATTTCCGCTGGAGATGCTTGCAGGTCCTCTTTGTAGGCTGTGCGATGTCCCAGGAGCACAGTTGGAAGGGAGTCTAGCCAAGACTGCGGGCAGCAGTGCAGGGCTGCTTTGAAGGTCCTGTGGAACTTCTGTACCATGCTTTTGGACTGTTAGTGATACGAGGTGGTGTGGCACAGCTTTGTGCTAATTATGTGGGCCAGTTCTTTGAATAGGTCTGACTTAAAATGGGCTCCACGCTCTAAGGTGATGAGAAGCGGGGTTCCGAAGAAACTGATCTAGTGATCGAACAAGGTTTTGGCGATGGTGGGTGCCTGGATGTTGGACAGCAGGATCGCTTGTGGCCAGTGAGTAAACCGATTAATGATCGTAAGTCAGTACTGCATGCCTGCGACTAAGGGCATCTTGATGATGTCAATGTGAAGATGTTCCAGGCGGTTGTCGGGCTCAGTGAATCTGCCTAGCGCTAATCGGTGTTGGTGACTAATTTTGGAGTGCTGGCAGGCTTTGCAAGTCTTGGCCCAGGCTAAGGCGTTTTTTCGCACTCCTGGCCAGACAAACTTCTGGCTCAGGGTGCTAGCCATGGTTTTGTCGCTGGGGTGTGAAAGAGCATGCACAACGTCAAACGTTGTGCGCCAGAGAGACGCTGGTAGGTACGGCCGCACTACGCCTTGCGTGATGTCTCCATAGACAAAGTGGCCCTCGATGTTGAACTGCTGGAGCACCAGGTTGTGCGATGCGTTTCTTAGCAGTTGAAGGAGCTCTGCATCATGCATCTGCGCTTGGGTGATGACGGCTAAGCTAAGAATCAAGGGCATTGTGACGGTGGCGACTAGTGTCTGCAGCTGAGTCGTTGGGGCGACCTCGGTGGTCGCTACTTTGATTGGTTTCGCAGCTGGTGTAAGCTTTGGGGGGTGGTGTCTTGGGGTCATCTTGTGGCCGGGAGAGAGCATCAGCCACGACATTGTCCTCACCTTTGGCGTAGACCAGGCGTAAGTTAAACCTGAAAATGTATTCAAGGTAGCGCGCCTGTCTAGGCGAAACCTTGGTTACTGGTTGAAAGGCAGCAAATGTGATGGGCCGGTAAACCGTGAAGATGGTGAATGGGCAGCCATCTAGTGTCCTCTCGAAGTGCTTAACAGAGGCGTAGATTGCTAGAAGCTCTCTGTCGTACGTGCTGTACCAGGCCTGCGTAAGATCTAGCTTGTGTGAGAAAAATCCCAGAGGACGCCACGAATCATCCGGTTGAAGCTGCTCTAAAGCAGCGCCGATGGCTGTGCTCAAGGCGTCTGTGCGGAGCGTTATGGGGTCGTCTGGGGCCAGGAATGTCGTGCAAGCGGCATTATTGACGCTGGCCTTACACTTGTCGAACGCCTGGGATGCTGGTGTGGTGCACTTGAGTTTAGCTTTCTTGGGCAGGCCCTTGAGCAGCTTGTTCAGAGGCGCCTGCAGTTCCACGGCCTGGGGGACACACCTGTGGTAGTAGTTGATTACCCCCAAGAACTGTAGAAGTTTGGACGCTGTGGTTGGCTTGAGAAAAATTTTGATAGCTTCTATTTCCGCTGTTGGTGGTTTGCAACCTTCTGACGAAACCTATAAGCCCAGGTAGATGACCTGAGGTTGGCCGAATGTGCATTTCGCAAGGTTTACCTTGAAGCCTGCCTGCTTCAAGACGGTGAATAGCTGGTGGAGGTTCTGAAGGTGCTCCTCGTGCGTTTGTGACGCGACGAGGATGTCATCGATGTCGGCCTTAACGAAGAGAAGCTTGAGCAGCAGCTGGTCCATCGTGCGCTGCATGGTTTGCGCGGCGTCTCTGAAGCCAAGTAATGTGCCGAGAAACTCGAAGAGGCCAAAGGGTGTCGTGACGGCCATCTTCTTTACGTCTCTGCTGGCGATGGGCACCTGTTAAAAGACTTTGTGTAGGTTGATGACCGTAAAAACCTGGCCTTGGCTCTCTTGCAGCATGTCCTCGATAATCGGGAGGGGGTATCTGTCTGGTACTGTGATGCTGTTGAGGTGACGATAGTCGCCATCGACGTGCCAGGAGTTGTTGGCCTTGGGCACAAGGTGCAGTGGACTAGTCCACTGGATGATGGACGGCCTGATGACCCCTTGGAGCTCTGCAACAGCAGCTTTGGCCGCTGCTAATCGATCAACGATGAGGCGTCGGGGGCGCTCAAAGACTGGTTGGCCGCAGGTGATGATCCGATGTTAGACTGGGAGGCTGTTGATGACCGCTGGTACGCTGTTGCACGCGAAGACGTCAGTGAACTCGTGCAGCAAAGACGAGCAGAGGCTGGCGAGGTCAGGGTCGTCTAGTCCCAGTTGCTTGATTGTTGCAATCGAGTGCAGGTTGGTGTCGCACAGGATGCCCAAGACAGCCAAACCTGTGAGCGGGTCGATGAGCCGCTTGTGTTTGAGGTCTGGAAGCAGACCGTCTTCTGCTAAGAAGTTGGATCCGATGATAGCCTGGGTGACTTCGGCGATGATGAACTCCCATTGGAAGTCGCGACGTAGGTTCTCAATAATTTTACTATTTTCTAGGTTGAGCTTGACCTTCCGGCTGCCGTAGGTGTGTATGGGCGAATGATTGGCCGCATACAGGGTCAATGCCTCCCGTTAGGCTTGGTTGAAATATGGCGGCCGGGGCAGGATTCACACTACGGATCTGGAGTCGAGTAGAAAGTGGACATTGAGGTGATGGTCCCTGATGAGCAGACGGGTTTCCCCTGTTGAAAGGGTGACCTCCGCCGTCTGCGTCGGAGGCAGCCTTAGGTGTTTTCCGTTGGTTGGGTGGCCTGTACCACGAAGGTGCAGGGCTTCTTGCAGGAGTAAGCGTTGATGCCGAACTTTCTATGAAAATAGCACCAGACGTGGGCGTCTGGGGACTGGTTCTGTACTTCGCTGCGCGACCTGTCCCGGCAACTGCTGGTTGCAGAGAGCTGTGCGATTATCACCTTGAGCGCGGCGATTTCCTGGAGCAGTATCTCGTTGTGCAGTTGGTATGGCGAGGCAGGTGAGGCGTATCCTGAGGAGATAGGCAAGACACCTGCGAAGGTTTGATTTGTTCGCAAGAGCGAAGAGTTGCAGACGAGTTCATCTGTGGCCTGCAGTAGCTTGTCAAGTGACGTGGATTTAAAGATGTGCAAGAAAATTTGCGCCTCTGCAAGTAGCAGATCCAGCCACTTGACTCTCAAGCTGTCGTCTATGAGGCTGTTGCCAGCGAGGCTCTTTATTTCGTGGTACAGCTGTGAGGGCTTCTTGTTGCCCAGTGACAGCCCGGAGAACAGCTTGTGCAGCTGTTGGTCCTTGGAGTCGGAGAACCTCGCAAGGACGTGTTTCTTAAGGTCTTCGTACCTGTTTTCTGCTGGTGGTGCTGCGAGGATGTCTGACAGCCCGTTGACAATGATTGGCCCCAATGTTTTAACGAACTGAGCGTACTTCACATCTTCGGAGGTGGTGTTGTTGTTCGTGAAGATGAGCTTGGCTTGCATGAACCATGTGGCAGGGTGCTTAGGCCAAAATGGAAATAGTTCCATGATGGCCATGAGTCGAGCGCTGGAGTTGGCACGGGAGTCTAAAAGGACTGGGCTGGGCGCGGGTGGGTCGCTGTGTGTACTGTTGTCGTGAGCCGTAGCGGCGTCAACGGCAACAGCTGCTGCGTGGTGCTTTTCGTCTTTGTGTACGTCTGGGGATGACTCGGGAGAGTCGCTTGACCTGTCGGTTGCCACGGCAGTGAGAGCAACGGTGGCGTACGCGTCTGGGTAGAGATCGCTTCGCAGCACGTCTTGTGGCGCACGCGCGTCAGCTGGGCGCGTTGGAGTGGCGTCTGCTAGCACTTGCCATGTGCGGAGGACTGGCATTAGGTTAAAACCTTCTAAGGCGGTGCTCTCGTTGGCATGTACGGGCTACAGGTGGAACCCCAGCAGCAGTGGATTGACAGGAGACGTCTGCTCGACTGTTGCTTCCGTGTCCTGCCAAGTATAGTCCGTTGTTAACGGAGCGTGAGGTTGGGTGCCACCCAACTCTTGTAATGGTGGCAAGGCGAGCACAGGGACACACACGCGGAGACGTAACGTTGCAGCACGTGTAACGACGTTGGGATCTGCGCATGGTCACTGGGCTCCAAGGCAGGGCCGTCCCCTTTTCACTGGCCCTGCTACCTTAGACGTTTGTACTGATGAGCACTGGCCTCTCGACGGCAGAACTTGCACTCACGATCAAATAAAACAGTTCAAGGGATCACCACTCGTGGAAAGAGTTTTTCTGCACAGGCAAAGATGTGCTTCCACAAGAAAAGAAACATAAGGAAAAATGAGGGCACATGGCAGTTTTTATTATAAAAATACAAAAGGCTTTGATTCACAATCTACAGTAAAATTTTTGCTCTACTCACGTCAAGAGCTATAGAATAAGTGTACAGTGGCGCCGTGCAACTCTTTCCCCTCAGCTGTAGCACACCAGCAGTGTGTGTGTGAGTTGGTTCGCGAGTATGAAGGGAACGATGTTTCTTGGGACGATGATCTGCTTTTGTCTTGAGAACGAAGCTAGTCACTGTGGCTGAGATGCCACATACTTGCTTCTGCAATCACGTGACGCATAACTTACTTCATTTAGTACAAGCAACCGTCGCAAAATCACACTACGCGTACAACCTCAAACAATCTTATAAAACGCTCTTTATACAACATTAATTCGCAGTGGTACATCTAAGATTTTAAATACTCAATAATTTTAATATTCTTGACTACGTAGGTCCACAAGAAACATCATACACAATTTTGACAGCAACTTGTTCTTAATGTTAACTACTAGAGATCATTAGTTTCAACCATTAATTACTGTGAAATTATTGCACCACGACTGCGTTCGTGTCATTTAAGGGTAATTAGATTAAGCCCTAATTGGTTACTTAGATCTCCAACCTGACGTGTCCTCCTTAACTGCAAGAGTATGAAAACTCCTAGCACAAAAGAGTATTCGCCTTTTCTTTTTTATCAAGTGCTTTAAAGTATCTATAAAGGTTGGAGAGCTAGTTCTGATGCATCTTCTAAACGGATGTAAGACTTAGTTAACTGATAAGGCTACGTGTTAAAAGCGTGCATTTCAAAAAAATGTAAGACTTAGTTCGGTGACTAAG